GATTGAGAGCAGCCCTGCCGAGAGGGACTTGGGGGTGCTGGTGGATGAAAAGCTGGACATGACCTGTTACAATGTGCGCTGGCATCCCAGCAGGCCAACCGTAGCCTGGGCTGCATCGGGACAATCTGGTGAGGCCTCACCCGGAGCACTGCATCCAGCTCTGGAGCCCTCAGCACAAGAAGGACATGGACCTGTTGGAGCGGGTCCAGAGAAGGGCTGCAAAAATGATCCGAGGGCTGGAGCACCTTTCCTATGAGGACAGGCTGAGAGCGTTGTCTTCTTCAGCCTGGAGAAGAGAAGGCTGCGGGGAGACCTGATTGTGGCCTTTCAGTACTTAGAGGGGGGCCTATAGGAAAGCTGGGGAAAACCCTTTTAGTAGGGCCAGCTGTGACAGGACAAGGGGTAATGGTTTTAAACTAAACCAGGGTAGGTTTAGACTGGATATAAGGAAGAAATTCTTTACAATGAGGGTGTTGAAACACTGGAACAGGTTGTCCGGAGAGGCAGTGTCTGCCCTGTTCCTGGAAACATTCAAGACCAGGTTGGACGGGGCTCTGAGCAGCCTGATCTAGTTAGCGGTGTCCCTGCTCAGTGCTGGGGGGTTGGACTAGATGACCTCTAGGGGTCCCTTCCAACCCAAAACATTCTATGATTCTATGGTATGTTATGGCATGACATGATTATGATATGACAGCCTTCTGATCAAGAGGTCAGTTGAGAATCTAATGCCTACTGTTATTGAGAAGATTTTTGTGAGGCAGTTGTGGAAAGGAGTATAATTGGTTTAGAGGACTGAAAACTTGTTTCAGGCTTTGTGGACTGCTGTGGAAGACATGGGCTATTTAGTTGACGTAATCAGTGATTCTCACCAAAACAGGGGTCTGTTCTTTTTTTAAATGACATTATCTAATCATTTCCTCCTGAAACAGGATTTTTTTTTTTTTTTCCCCTGTAGCAGCTGGGTTTAATGGGAGCATTTTTATGAATTTTTTGACTGAACACTGTGTTCAGGTGATCTGGGAAACAAACAGTTTGATCTACAATATGGCCTCTAAGCATGAAAATATTGTTGGATTAGATCATGCTGAAAGGTACTGAAAATTAGCCACTGTCTCTTATGCTTTTTGGAGATTTCTGTGGGTAAACGTCAGGATTAATTTAAATCAGTCTGACATCATGTTGCTCATAAGCTCATATTGCTGATATATCACTGCGTGATCATAATCTCACAGTGGATTTGGTGACAAACAGTAATTTTTTTAGCTTATGTTAGATACTTTTTGATAAGCAGGGTGATATCAGGATTAATATATTAATTTTAAAACTTCTCTTCATGTACAAAAGTTCAGTATTTACCCTTCTAACTTCTCATTTACGTATTGCCATAATTCTTATCTCTCTAGTACATAGTTTTGGAGTTTTGTTCTGGATTTCTGTAGCTTCAAAATGTTTTAGTTGCCTGGACATAATTTTTGTTTGATTACAGTAGGCTTCAACTAATTTTAAGAGCAGAATGTTATGAACTCATAGCTCTTTTAAACTGTGTAGGCCCCATGTACAAGGTGGTTGACCACTGATGGAAGATTACTCTTTAAATTAATGTTACTGCACAGTATTACGGTTTGAATTATGAAGTCACTTCTCAAACTACCTTTGAAAGATGAAAAGTTTCAATAAGATCAGTATAAACAAGAAAAATGTGAGTGTGGATTGTGAAGACTTAGGTTGTTTTAGCAGTGCACAGCATATATAGTCTCAAATATATATTTTTACTTATTCTTCTTGTTGTTCTAAAATCTTTTTCTGCCAAAGACTTTCATATAATTTCTCTTTATTATTTGTTTTGTATTTGCTTACTGTTTTGTATATTTTTTTTTTATTAACATAGTGAAAATTCACTTTTTTTACACTGTTCATATATTATTTATGTTTTTAGTACTTTGCTGCAAATTACTTTTATTTTTAGTATGAACAGACAGACTGTAAAGAAGATGGAGAACCTGGAAGCATTCAAGCACAATTAAAAAGGGAAGAAACAGATATTTGTGATGACTTCAGTGATGATGATATTCTGGAAACTTCCGTGAAAAAATGTGGCAGAAGGAAGCATTGCAATGCAAACAATTTAATGGTAACAAAGGGACAGCTTTCCTTAATGCAGTGTGGATTCTCTAAGTTGTTGCAGGGAGAAATTGAAACTGCCAAAGACGACTATAATAATTATAACTCTCATCATTCAAATTCTGATGATCAGACTATAAGAACAAAAGTGAATAACAAGCATAGTGATTTTCAGAAATGTCAAAGCCATGTGCATGTTTTGGAGCATCGGAAAGCTGCTCAGGCACCAGATGGAACTGATAAACAAGATATGCCTTATACAGATTGGCTCGTTTTATCAAGCTTTGAGGAGGATGGGGACAGAGAAAGTGAGGATCAATGCATTTCAAAGCAAAGTGATGTAGTCATTGAAACTGAATGGAGTTCTGAAGAGAATGATGATGTTGTCTTTCCTACCCAAGTTCCAGAATACCAGCAACCAGTGCTTACTAAAAAAGCTGAAATTTACAAGTCAGCACCTGAAAATTGTGAAGAGTTAGCAAAAGGAAAGGATGGGTTGGTATTTAATGGAGACAGTAGGCAACTTGGATTCCATAGTACCGAGTTGAATTTCAGCAAAGTCATGTCTTTTAAAGACATCAAGAACAGCACAAGAGATTTGAAAGGGACAAGTGACATAAGTGATGAATCTGATGACATTGAAATTTCCCATAATTCTGAATCAAGAAAGTTAAGAACTTTAAGCTTTCCAAAACGGAAAGAAAGACATATCCATAACAATGGACTAAGTAGCTTCTCCAAATCCCTGCTACAATTGAAGAAGCGCAGTAGAAAAGAAAAGGGAAGTGATTCTCAGAATATAGATGAATTTTCATCGTCTGAAGATAACTTACCAGTTGAGAAAATTGATGCCAGAAAGCAAAGTTATAAGTGTAAAAGACAGAGAGTCAGAGTTCAGTTTGGATCTAAAATGCTTCATCCTATTCAAGATACTTCTGTTGCACAAATGAAGTCTACCAATTATGCTTTGCATCGAACTTCTGCAAATAAAACTGAATTTGAACATCAAGAACAAAAAGTGGAATCAATGGACAGATATCTAGGTAACCAGTCATTTAATCTCTTTAATTTTATTTCAGCTAAAATTGAAATGTGTTTAATTTATCATTCTTGGCACGTTTTAAGTTCTTCCTGCTATACATGTTTTTGTTACAAGGTGGTAGTAAATGATCTGCTAAATTATTTAGCAATGTCTTTTTGTATCTGTTTTTACCTAATTAACCTTACTTCTCTGTCTTCTGAGGTGATGGGTTCCTTTGTAATGCTCTGAACAGTTACTGTCTGTTGAAAAATGCTAGATTTATTAAAAATTCACAAATCTAAATATTTGAACTGTAAAACCTTAAGTCTTGACAGGGATGTGAAGGGTTTTTTTCATATACATAAGTTTTTATTCCTGTGATTTGGGAGTTTGAAATACCCTGTAGAAGTTTCAATTCTGTTAGAGACTTTAAACATTAATATTGTAGCCACTAAATCACAGATGCTTTGAAACTTCTCCTTAGTCCATCTGAAAAAAACCTCACAAAAGGAAGCAGTATTAAACTGTCTGGATAAATCTGAGTAAGTCTGATGATTATTGTTCATTTCATAGAGCTGAGAAAGTTGGTGCTGAGTGAAATCGTAACAAATTTTACAAATTTCATGTAAAAATTTTTTTTAATTACAATATCCTTCTGTGTACCTTCACAGTTTTGGAATAAATCTCTGATTATATCTTTCTCCTAATATATCAGATGGTGTTCAAGAAGTGGCATATATTCATTCAAATCAGAACGTGGTTGGATCCAGCAAGGCTGAGAATCACTTGAGCCGGTGGGCAGTGCGGGACGTATTTGAGTTGAAGCAGTTTTCCCAGCTCCCTGCTAATGTAACAGTCTGTAGTGCCAAGGTAAAGAGAAGTGTTTGGGAAATGTTGTTTTTACTGTTTTTATCCTCATTTTTTTCATCTTAAAACGCTCTGACAAACTTGTTTTTCTGTTAATGGCTACCATGAATGATCAAAGGCACTGAGTATGGGAGGAGGCTCAAATGGGAGTCTAATAAATTACTGTTGTGTTTTGGGTTGACTTTTTTTTGTTTTGTTTTTGTTTTTTTTACATTGGCCAGTTCTGAACGCATTGGGAACTAAGCAGCAGAACACCCTCGGTGGGATTTTTCTAAGAGAAATAGTAAGATTAAAGTTTGGGTGTTTGAAATCAAATTCTGTGCCATGTTTTTCTCATTTGAGGCTTGAAAAAAATTCAGTTTGTCCTGGATCCTGTTAACAAAAATCTGTTTGCCACAGTACATGCTGGAATTTCTGTGGTGTAGAAAGTCGAACGTAAATTGGTTTGCAGAGGTTTTTTTTGAGGGGTGGGCACATGCAGTTGTTATAATTGGTTAAAGTAATGGTCATTGTTGTCTACACTTAATGTCTGAAATGTAAACCTAGAGTTTACTGGGAGTGCTCATTTGCAGCAACAGGTATGTTTTATGCTTTTGTTTATCATGCATCTTGTTTAATTACATTTGGAATACATACAAATCTGGAATGAATTCAGGTACAGTTCCAGGTTTTCTTATTACATAGTGGTTTTAATCTGCCCTGATTATCTGGACACTTTGTTGTTTGCCTTGTAATAAACATTTGCTGTTACCTAGGCTGATTCTTAAGATACACCATGAGCATAGAATAAGTAATTGGTGAATGTGCAACTTAGCCTTTACAAACATATTAGCAATCACTATAGAAATTGTAGCAGAAGACTATGTCGTTTTGGGGTGTTGAACATCTGCAGTGGCTAAAAGATTCTTCCAATGTAGTTGATGTACTGAAGATCAAATCAGGCCAACCAGTAAAAGTGAGGCCTTTTCAATTCTAACACATTTGCATTAGAATGTCCCTTATTAACAGAAAAGTTGGTCAAAAATACTCAATAATACTGTAGAAAGGTCCTTATTTAATGGCAATGGCTGACAACACTAATAAAACTAAATAGAAATAATAAAAAAAAAAACCTTTAAAGAGAGTACTTTGAATAAATGTTGATCCACCTATTTTCAAAACTAGGTTGTGGGAGTCATTTGTATTCATGTAACTTCCACCTCATCCTTTAGAGTTGTGTGGCTGCTACTATTACAAAGTAACCTCTCTTGATTAACTGGTCAATTTTTCTAAGGTATCTATGTTTCAATCAGAAGCAACAATAGTATCAATGCTCTTGGAGACTTACATAGGAAGAAAGGCCTCAACAATTATGGAGAGGCTGCCTCTTCCTTTGCTTCCTGTTCTTTCTTTGACATAGAGGTCCTAATGTAGAAATAATCCATAGATGGCTGCCTATGAAATGTTGAGCTTTGAATTTTTTGTGCTTGGCTTAAAAAAAGAGCTGCCAGAGCTTCATGGACAACTTTGAAATGTGATCTACTTACAATGTTACTGCTACTATTTTCCTTTCTTCACTATTTCATTTTTATTTTAAGAAGAATTCTGTGAGAAACATGATCATTACTATTCTTCTGGCCATCAGTTTTTGCTGGTCATTTTTCACTTATTTGCCGTCAGTTTAAGCTAACACACTCACTGTCAGAGCAACTAATTGCATTATAAAGATTTCAAATGAAGTTTAATAAAAAAGTTTGTCAAAAGATTAAAGTAGCATTATGTATAATATTAACAATACAGCTGAACCATTTAAATTTCTACCATTATGTTTGGTAAATAAAATTATAGTATTAAACACGGGAGTATTAATTGTAACCTGATAGTTATTGAAAGAAAAACAAAACCTTTGTTAACTGAAATTTCTCACTGATACTCCTTTCTAGCATCATTGTTCTAACTGTGTCTCGCAAATTGTGTAGCTGTTCCTGTTCGCTCTGGGTATCAATGATGACAGCCTTAATTAGAAACTTTTTTTAACGGTGTATTTATAGTGAAGCTTTATTTGATAGCATCCTGAGGACTCCTGAATAATGCCTTGATAATATTTATATCCCTTTTAAAGCACATTTAATCCATTTGTCATATTTCTAAGTAGGAGTGGTCAAAAAAGGATCTCTTCCTTTCATTTCACAGGTAAGTCTCTTTGGGACAAAAGTAAAATAACATTTGTGCCAAAGTAAAAGTTCCCTTTTGCCAACTCTGTCTTCCTGCTTTGCAGTTGTGTTCTCCAATCATGAACTTTTGCATCCTAGGTTAAGTTCTTTAGTTCCAGTAGCTAATTTATGGAAATTAAGTGAATATGAATAACAGCAAAAATGTATCACTGGAAAGCAATATAAATCTTCTTCCTGGTTTTCTACCTGCAGTAGATAAAAGTATAAATTTAGGTTTATTAGTCCTTTCTTTATTGCTGAAGCGTGGAGACTAATGTAGTCACTTGGGTTGCAGAAACTGCTTAAAACTGGAGCAGACTGCAAAACCCAAGAGGACTCTTCCTTCAAAGTGAGAGAGGTTGCATGGGAAGAAGATTCTTGAGAGCCAAGGTAGAAGGGATGGGGGGCAGGGAGTTTTGGTCCTCAAAGGAGAATTTTGAAGGTATGTAGAACATCTTATTTAAGAACATAAGTTACTAATGAATAAGTAAACTTGGATTTAAGTTGGTTATAAAAAGTGTGAGATTTGAACTTTGAGATAAGAAAAGATGTTTGTCTTGGTGATAGTCTCTTTCTTTAATTTGTCTTCAGAAGGTCTATATTAGGTCTGGACTGTTGGCACTAATGTAATCCACAGTCAGATATCTCTTAACCTTTCAAACTGTAGGTTTCAGTCAAGCATATTTTTTTTTAATCCAGTAATAAGTAGTCAGTATGTCCTTAACATTACCTGTGCTAGTATTCATATACCCCAGCTGCCTTTTCTCTGAAGTAATCGAACATATTATTTTAACCTGCTATTGTTCTGTACCATTAAAGGCTTAAGGGAACAAAATCTTTGTTCTTCTATGAGAAATAAGTCTTGCTACTATTTCTTCTGTCTTGCTTGCTTTGTGCTCCAGGTTCCATAACATGGAACCAGTCCTGGTACATGGCTTCAAGACAGCTGCAGAGCCTTTGACTCTTCTTTCTCCTAGGGTGGTAGGGAATGCAGTCATGCTCTCTATATTTGTTTGTTTTAAAAGGAATTGTATAAATTTACTAGTTTAGCTAGAATATTCATGTTTACAGTCCCAAATGCTTGTTCAGTATGTTTTTCCATAAATTCTGTATGGCTATCGAAAATACAGTTAGGTAACAAGAACCAGAATATGAAGCCTGCTGTCAAGAAATAAAAGTAGAACAATATGAGAGCTCTCCCACAACTTACCAGCCATGAAAGGTGAGATCAATTCTAGAAGCAGTAAAAGTAACAGTATAAAGTATGCATTAATTATACAAGCAAGAGAAGAAACATATTTTAGTTGACTATCATTAGTCAAAATAGGTCCTGTCCAGCAAAGAAAGATAACTATTTGAACATAGTTTATATATAGTAGAAGCAAACAAATGTGAAAGGTTTTATTGCATGATCCTGAAGAAACTAAAATAAATTGTGGTTTTGGGGAATATATTCCCTTTATCATAAAAGTCCAAGGGATTACATAAAAATGGATAATATAAAAATTTTCTGTAGCTGTAGGTGAGTTGGAGTAGCATTTTCAATGATGAGATACTGTTGTCTTGTTATAGAGGGAGCTTTCATTAATAGTCATCTACAGCAGTGGGTATCTGCTTATACTTTATTTTGCAAGTATAATCAGGGAGATACTTAAAAGAATAGCAATTTTTTTTTTTTAGATAGAGATGGTATTTATATACTTGGTACTCTACATTTAAGGGATATCTAGAATTACAGTAAAAATATTTTCATGTACTAGCAACAGTTTCTGAATTGTACATATTATCTTGTGGCTGAAGATTGCCCATATACTGACCAATGACCACAGTTGGCAGTGTCAGATCAATGTAGATTTTGAGAAGAGAGGACAGAAGAACAGTGTGATAATGGTTGCTCAAACAGTTGATGTTTCTGATAGTGTTGCTTATGTGGAAGGTACTAAAGCATCAGTAACTTGAGGTGTTTAAGAGCCAGTAATCAAAACAAAGCCAGGGATTTTTGTTCCATGCAGAGGTGTGGCAGACAGCTGTTCCTGATGAAATTTTTGAGATACAGATTGTACATTTCAACTTCCTCTGTAGTTCTAAAAATTTATTATACATCACAGAACCTAAGTGTCACAGAAAGTATTTAAGTGTCGTCTTTTGTTCTGGCCATTTGTGATCTTTCACAGCAAGTTGAAAGTGTTAAGGTAGAAATTATGGTCAGTTCTGTGATACCATGATGCAAGGAGAATCACACCAGGCTTCAATATTCTAAACATCTGAGGGTAGAAAATGCACGTCGCTTACTGTGGCAGATATCCATTAAAAATTACTGAGAGCTGGTCTTTGTTGCTTCCTTATGCACATGACTACTAAATACGCTTTATCTGCTATTTCACAGAAGATTATTAGTAACAAGAGTTTTCTGGTCTTCTGTGTAGAAGTTTGAGTGAAGTAGATTGTATTAGAAATTAACCTGTTGGAATAAAGAACTTGTTTTTCCTGCATTTTTTTGTATGTTGTTTGTAGGCTCATTTAATGACATTGAGTCATCTTTGTTTTGCATTTTAGTTTGAAGTCTCCTGTTTGCACATGTGTGCAAATAGACCTGGTTAAAATTTCTTTGTTTTTTCATGAAAAAAGTGGAAGATTGTTTCTGTTGCTCTATCAGTATCCGTTAAGAAGATAGTTCTGCATTTTGTTTTTCATCTATCTTGTGTAACTACAGAAAGAAAGATACTGAAAAGAAAGGCTTCTAAGAGAAAACGTGAAATGAACCTGTAGATTGGACGTGGTGGACTTACAAAGCCAGACTATGTAATTTTCAGAGCAGACCTTACAGGTATTTCAGCCATTCAGAAAAAATGTCTTGAGTCATTCATGTGATGTTTTGCTCAAAATCATGCTGGCATTATTGATTTTGGGGGAAAATGAAAATGTTAACATTTTCTCTAAGACCTTAGATATCTACTAAGTATCTTTAGAGGTTTTGGGTTTCTTTGATGCTTTTCTTCTGGTGGGTTCCAGGTTCCGAAGCAACCTGGTTAATTTTCAGTGGAGGAGCTTGTTGGTTTTTGGGTAACTTGCATTGTTATTTTTGAAGCTTTTTCTTAGCTACTATAAGAAATAGAAGCCTCCCAGAAGCAAGATTAAGAATCTTCTTTTAATGTTTCTAGTCTATTCTGAAGTAAATGACTGCATTCCTTAATTTCCTAATTAATTTCTGTGTTAATTGGCAAAAACAGCCTATGTGAAATGTTTTACATAAGTACAGAAGTCTGGAATGGGCTTTATGGAGTTCCTGTAAAGCTGAATTTGTGTAGTATTTCTTCAATAGGAATCTTGGTGGGGGTGTTAGAGCATGGAGAAGACTTTGGAGAAGGCTTGGAGGCTTCACAAAAAAGACAAAAAGCAGGAATTTTTTTTCAGGAATGAACGTAATAAATTTGAAAAACTGATGATGCCCAACATTAGCACTAATTTGCGCTTTTTAATATGTGGAAAAGTATTAGTCACAAGAACTTGTACTGTACCTGTTGAATATGTGGAGTCTCTTTTTTTTTTTTAGTCAACTGCATGTTTTCAACTTAAGTTTACTTAAAGTTTTACTAAAAAGAAATGTACAAAGACAGCCATTCAATTGAGGATTAATCACTATGGCAACAGAAATGTGGTGACTGAAAAGGGGGAGGATGTATTCTCCCCTCAGCTTCCTGCCAGCTGTCATATTCAACCTCTGTGGCATGAATTCAGGCCAAAATATGGACTGTGACCAGCTCTTAAGAAACTATATCTGTATTCTTATAAATTGGTACAAGAATTGCACTATAAAAGAAGACTTAATCCTCTGAATTGGATGACAGACATTTGGCACTCTTGCTGGTGTTTGACAGAGGAATAACGGGATGCTTTGTAGTAAAACCTGGATTAATGGTAAAACCCTCTTTATGTTATTGCAATGTGGTGTAAATGAGAGAACTAAGCATGCTGTCAGCCTAGGAGAAAACATGCCCTTTGTATCTCCAATGCAGATTTAAGTGTTGTTGAGAATACTGTAAATACAAAAGTTATGTTATTAAGAACTCCTCTTTATCGTATTTGTATTACATTGACATTTTGTAGATTATTTAAACAAAGATTTTCTATCAGTTATAGTAACTGATTGCAGTGTGTTTACACAGCTTTCAGATTCAACAAGTTGAGATAGTTGTTTACAAAGAATAGGCTTTTGGGAGATAACATTCCATTATCCTTGCTCTTATAGGATGGGGAATGCTATTGAGCTTTAAAATAATTGTTCCCAAATGATTGGCCTGTCATGCTGCTTTATTGAGTTTACAGTTTCAGCTTACAATGGAATTAACCATTTTGATATGGCTTTTCTAAATGCGTTGAGTTTGTATATGGCACTGTGAAGCACGCAGTTGCACACTCAAAGGTTGTGTGTGTATGGCTTTTGGTTTTGCTGCTGTTTGATGGAGGGGTGAGAGGGCACAAGAAGATAGGTGCAAGTCCACAGGTTTCTGCTGGAACAAGCAATTGCCTCAGCTTTGAATTCTGAGACAGGCTGATTATCTCCTTTCATTCTCAACAATAGCAATAACTATATTGATTTATGGTCAGATTTTTGATGCAAGAAAGTGATATGGCTTATAGGAGTTCTTTTTGTTAAAAGAGCCAACAAATTAAATAAAACTGCTCCCAAGGAGAAGTTCTTGCTCTGTTACCTGACAGGAGAAGAAATAGACTCAGAAGTAAATGCAGAATGAAGAGAACACAGTTCCTCTTCAGTTGACTTAGCAGTCAATTCTCCACTACCCATCAAAAGATTAGAGTTTATGGAATGTCCTTGGTCTTAATTTATACAAGCAGAAAAGCTAGGTACGACATCCAGGGGAAGATAACTACATATTACTCTGATAAAATTTCTTTACTTTTATCAGCAGGTATAGCTAAATACTGATCTTGGTGTTGGCAGAATATTTTTGAGGAGTAATTTGGACCCCAAATAAGTCTTAACATTTTTCATAGCTTGAAGAGTATTTCAGCTATTGTTCTCCTGTGATACAATCAAATTCAGAGCCTGATAGCTTTATTTAGTTCAGAAAGTTTGAGTATAAATATGATTGTCCTAGAGTATTCTAAAATTTTAAGGTAGGTTATCTCCATTTTCTAAGATAATTGAGGTACTGACCATTAGCTATACAATTACCTCTAATTCTCATTTTACAGTTCTGTTTTGTTAGAACAATGGAAAAATTCAGTGTGTGTGAGACTGTTTTTCAATTAAGAAAGTTAAATTCAGAGGGAAATCAATGCCCTTGACATCAGAAATCATTCTAAAATACAATAAAATTCAAGCTTATTCAACTGTGGGGTGTGTAAGTCACCATAACCCTCCAAAGTACCTAGTTTGTTCAGTAGTATATCCTCTGTAAGTAGAAAAGCAATTCTGGCTTGTTTAAGAGTCAGGTGAAAGTATAGAGACATTCTCATTATTTGATAACTTTTTTTTTTAGGAACTACATTAAGTTTTATGTGTACACTATTGTTTTGTCTTCCTTGGCATGCAGAATAATTTAGGAAGAAATACTTGCTTGACACATGTATGTGTAGAAGAGAGAAGGAAACAGGACCAAGAACGAACAGTCAGGTAGCAAACATTTCAAGTTATTTATATATGTCCCGACAAGTAGAGGAAATGTAGGTAAAATAAAAATGATGTCTAAGAATAGCATATATTCAAGAAAAGCATGTATCAGAGTCATAGTAATTCATACATATTATGGGAAAAGCTCCCAGAGTATAAACAAGGAAAACTGTAAGGGGAAAAATCAGCTGAAATAATTTTAGAATTGTAATTTGAGTAGATAAATTCACTGTAATGCAGTAACTATCACCTGATCTAAACAGTAACAGTCATCAAAACCCCTCTTCAACTCACAATACATCTGGGAAGTCATGTGTTCTCTCAGGTTTTGAGGGGAATGGGAAAATACAGAATAGAGTATGGCATAAGGGTTTGTTATTTGCTTGCAAGCTATGTCTTAAGAGGACAGTCATACTGAATTCACTGTGTTTCATGCTTTGATATGATATAGGTGACTGCAAGGCAGCTTAAGATTTGAGAAGGCCTTTCTTGTTTGGTTTAGAAATTAAAACAAACAATGAAACCGTGCAATGGAAAGTGTCCTGGATATCTGGCAGCAGTGGTTTTGTGCATACCTGAAGAGAAAAGCCTGTTACCACCATTTCAGCTGTGAGTGGGAAAGTCAGAGGGAGTTGTTGCTAACTAGAAGTCGGTATTTGGCAAGATACTTACAATAGTGATACTTCGGGTAGTCAGGGAGTAAAAGAAAGGAAGATGCTCAGACATAGTACTATGACATACAGCTGAGGAATAATTCTGCAAACATGTTTTCAACTTCAGATTCAGGCTTTTGAAGGAAGTTCATTATCTTCTAAGTCTGGTGATTTGAATTGCCACAAACATGAGACAGCTTAAAGAAACTTGTATCCCTGAATCTCTTTCTCTTTTTTTATATGCTCATCATACCCTGAATTTTAGGAAAGCAAGCTTCCAGCTCCTCAAGGAGATAGTCAGAAGGACTCCCTGGGAAACAGTCCTCGCGGACAGGGGAATGGAACAGAGCTGGCAGATCTTTAAGGATGTGACCCACAGAGCGCAAGAGGTCAAGATCCCCTGATGTAAGAAATCGGGCAAAGAAGGGAACAGATCAGCATGGCTGAGACACGAGATGCTGGTCAAACTAAGGAGGAAGAGGGAACTGCACAGGAAGTGGAAGCAGGGATAGGCATCCTGGGAAGAGTATAGGGATGCTGCTCGGTTGTGTAGGGATGGGGTCAGGAAGGCCAAGGTGCAGCTGGAGCTAAACTTGGCTAGGGATGCAAAGAATAGTAAGAAGGGTTTCTGCAGGTATATCAGCCGGAAAAGGATGGTTAAAGAAAGCGTACCCCCGCTGATGAGCGAGACCGGCAAGCTGGTAACAGCAGATGAGGAGAAGGCTGAGGTACTCAACAACATTTTTGCCTCAGTCTTCACTGTCAACCTCTGTCCTCAGCCCTCCTGAGTCGATGGATGGCATGAGGGGGACTGGGAAGGTAAAACCCCTCCTGCTGTAACAGAAGATCAGGTTTGTGACCACCTGAGGAACCTGAATGCACGTAAGTCCATGGGACCTGATGAGATGCATCCCAGAGTCCTGAGGGAATTGGCTGATGTAGTCGCCAAGCCCCTCTCCATGATATTTGAAAAGTCATGGCAGTCAGGTGAAGTCCCTGGTGA